CACATACACACAGTGCACACATACACACAGGTACACCCACATACACACATGCACACATACACACAGTGCACACACAAACACACATACAGGCACACACAGACACACATGCACACACAAACACACATACAGTGCACAGATACACACAAGTGCACCCACATACACATACAGGTGAACACACATGCACACATGAACACACATACACAGATACACACAGGCACACATGAACACACAGACACACATGAACACACACAGGCACACATGAACACACAGGCACACAGTGCACACATACCACAGGCATGCACATATGTGCACACACGAACACACATGCACACAATACACATGCACACTGCAAAGACAGGCACACAGTGCACCCACATACACACAGGCACACACAAACACACATGTACACAGTGCACACACACACGTGCACACACACAGGTGTGTACACACACGTGCTCATGTAGGCACACACACAAGCACACTCATACACACATGTGTACCCATGCACACACGCACACATACACAAGCACTCATAGGCACACACATGCACAGACAGGTGCATAACACACATATGCACACATGCACACACACACACTTGTGCCCTTACTCCTCCCCCACACACCACGGCCCATACCCAGGCTACCACACCAGTACACAGTGTGGAGAGGCAGTGGGTGAGGCAGAAGCAACACACAGGCCTGGTGCCTGCATCTGTCACCACAGCTGGCCCTCGAGGTGTAATAGAGAAAGCCGCACGCTGGGAGCACAGTGGCCTGTCCCCTTTGCCCTGTGGGATCTCTGACTTTTTGCTGTTCACCATTTAGCTGGGAGATGGCCACCTAATTTCCCCGAGACCAGCCCATGGTCAGGGCTGCCCCGAGGTCTCCCAACAGGACTAACGGGGCAACAGCCCTGGGACTTTGATCCATCAAGTTCCCACTGACACTTTGGTATTAAAATCCTAACCCTCTGCAATTTTCAAAAGTGCCAACTGGCAGAGATAAAGCCACACTGTAATCTACAGCTACTATTTAAACCACCCTCCAACCCACCCCTGGGGATTAAGCCAGAAAGATTCAAACTAACAAAGAAAGACAATGACAAAACAAGACACCATAAAACAAGCTTGCATCACGCTTTGTTTGCTACCCAGCAGCAGACAGTTACCAGAATTAGTGAGATTTGACACCCTGGCCCTTATGACTTTTTGGTAAAATCAGTATTACTGGGAATGGAAGAGCATGAGTCTGAAAGTCTCGTAGGCTGGGATTTGGATCTGGGCTCAACTTCTGGAAACTTGGGCAATCAATTTAACTTCTGAGTTAACTAAGGTTTCTCCCATTGTAAACCGGGGCTAATTAGACAGACTTTGAAGTGTCCTCTGAGGATTAAATGAGATAAAATACATCAAGTGCTAATGACAGTTCCTGGGACACCCCAAATACTCACCATGGGTTAGTTTCTTAGGTTACTAGGCCACCTTCTGAAGTTACTAGGCCACCTTCTGAAGCCCACGAAGCAAGTAACGTGTGACAAATTCAATACCAGAATTTTTCTAGCATTGATAATTAGCCTCTTTTACTAATAAATGGAGCAAATGTTTCTACTTAAGGAATTAAATCAAGGCCACATTTTATTTCCCATTTATACTACCAAACAGCTCTTTGATAATTCATTTCCTCTGCTGCTTGGAGTGGGAAGTGGCCGCTAAAGAGGTGATAAGTGGATGAACTGCCTTGAAGCCATACTTGGAGTTTTTCTTTTTAATCTGTTAATAGGGCTGCTTTTTCTCAGACTCATCACTGTCGCCTTTGGCAGGAAGAATGAGATCCGGGGCTCTCTGCTGGATGGACACAGAATGAACTGACATGGCCTGGCCAGCTTCTTAGAAGAGTCGGATCCGGTTTATGCTCTGAGCTGAAAGTCTATTTAGTACGATAAAGATTCAGAAGCGCCTCATCTAAAAGAAAAAGAAAGGAGAAAGCAAGCAGACCCCGGCCCACCTGGAGCAAACGTTCCTGCTCCCGTTGCCATTTCTCCTGTCTCCGGCGCTCCTCCTCTGGGTCCCACGCCCAGAACTTGAACTGCTTAGAAAATAAAACCACAGTCAGAATTGAGCCACGTCCTCAAGGACAGGCCAGGACAAGAGAAGACAGTTGGCCTCTGGCCTGGCACCTGGATTAACAAGCAGGAGCAGGGGCCGTCTAACGTCCTCTTTGGTGGCAGAAAACTTTTAAATCATAGTCTTTCTTTGGTTTACTTCCAAGATGCTAGTATGATCCTAGGACCCTTTTTGAAGCTAATAAGAACAGGAGGTAATTAGCCACTGGCGTTGGAAGGCTTTGCTCTGTTTCTCTGAGAAGAAACAGACGTCATTTCTCAAATGCATCCACACTTCTGAGTGTAAGATGTTCATTCTGCATTTTGAGCCAAAGTCCAAGCAAATGGTCTCGGGTATTTCAGCAGAAATGCCTTTTGTAAGAAGTAGCATTTGCCACCCTGCAAAACTGACCTTTTATATGGCTACTGCTTCCCCACACTGGGTTATTTAGCTCACCAGGTCCAGGCAAGGGGACCCTCTGCCCTGGGGTCCACATAACACGAACATTTAAACCCAGAATGCTGGACCAGGAGAGTGCAGGGTCAGACATGAGAGGGGCCGCTGTGTCTAAAGTTGGCTTGGCTGCCTCAGTCACCCAAAGCAGATGCCCGGGCAGGCCAAGTTCCCCAGTGACGCACCCCTCACTTCCTTTCATTATGATGGAGTAATTTTATTTTATACATTTACTTATCTTTTTGAGACAGAGTCTCACCTTTGTAACTCTCAGTTGAGTGCTGTAAATTCAAGTGATTCTCTTGCTTCAGCCTTCCAAAGTAGCTGAGACTACAGACGCCCGCCACTATGCCCAGCTATTTTTAGACATGGGGCTCTCACTTTTGCTCAGGCTGGTCTCAAACCCCTGAGCTCAAGCACTCCATTTGCCTCAGCCTCCCAGAGTGCTAGGAGTACAGGCGTGAGCCACCGCACCTGGCCCCAGTGATAGGGTAATCTTAGGAGGCTTTAGAATGGCCTAAAATTTTGAGTAGAAATAAGGGTGGGAGGCAGGGTAGAGGAGCAGGGATAGTCTATGTGACATGGCTGCCTGGGAAGCTGGTGGCTTCAGCCCTGTCCAAGGTTTCCATAGGTGTAGTTACTGTCCAAGATACCTGGGCCAGCCCCCCTCCACTTTGCCTGATCCCCAGCAGGTCCATGCTAACACTCAGGCCTGCTGGGCTGGCCCAGGGAGGAATCTCCAGGCAGAGAACGCAGGCCAGGCCACAGTGATGCGTAATATATAATTTAAAAAATACTTATAACTTTCATTTATTTGTGGGTCTCATTTTGTATTTTCACTGTGACTCCTGCATATGGTTGGGACGGCCATGACGCTCACAGAAGGGTCAAAGAAAAATGCACAAGTAAGCTGGGGAAAGGCAGGTCCTGTGGGCCCTCGTGGTGTTCACCTTGCAGCCGAGCGAGCTCTAGGGCAGTGCTGTCCAGCCCTTCCTATCTCACGGCACACTTGAACCTATAGTTAGACTTCCTCGGCAGACTTAAATTATGTTGCTCAGGAAACAAGGGTGAAAAAAAAGGATATGCTTACGGTGCTTTGAACTTCTTTCAAAAATAATTTAATCATCTTTAAAAACTGCTGTGGCACACCTAAGATCCTCTTGTGGCACACCGTTGTGTCACAGCACATTGGTTAAAAATCACTGCTGTAGGCTCAGACAAGTTATGCCGAGGAAAATTTAACAGAGATGGTCTCTGACTTGTGATGATTTGACTTACTGTTTTTCAATTTTACAATGGTATGAAACCATTTTCACATTCAGTAGAAACTGCACCTTGACTACCCATACAACTATTCAGTTTTTTGCTCTTTAGTACAGTAGAAAAGCAGGAGATAGTCAGCACTTCATCATGAAATAGGCTTTAGATTAGATGATTTTGCCCAACTTAGGGCTAACGTTAGTGTTCTGAGCATATTCAAGGTAGATTAGGCTAAACTATAAAGTCTGGTAGGTCAGGGCATTAAATGCACTTCAGTTTCCTGTATATTCAGCTTACGATGAGTTTATTAGGACATAACCCCATCACATGAGGAGCATCTGTAATCGAAGGTTTCCTAAGTTTCCTTGAATGGCCAGAAATGTCATCTCTATGTAGATCCCAGATAGGAAATTATGTTGGAGTTTAGTGAGTCGCCTCCACTGGGCATTTTCCTAGAACTTGGAGGCAGTTTCAGTGTTCAGAACCCCACCCAGGGCCATGGACCTTCTTTGACTTTCGAAGGAAAGGAAGGAAAGGGGCTGTTTGTGCGAATGAAGCCACGAGAGACCAGTGAGAAAAGTCCAATAGCAGGAAAACGAGAGGAACAATCAGGAATGCTCTAATTTCCAGCTTGCACTGGGAAGCTGGTGGCTTCAGCCCTCAATCTCAGGAATGAGTCAGGAAGGGGGCAGTGTGGACGGGCTGAGCACAGACAGTGCAGAACGTGTGTTAAAAGGAAAACAACAGGTATTTTAAGAGGGAGAAGATAGCAGCATGGTCAATAAATAAGAGGGAAAAAAGCAGTGATTTGGTTCTTCCTTTGTGATTATTTGCTGACCACTTGCTATGGGTCAGGCGGTGGCCAGTGGGCAGAGAGTCCCTGCCTCATGCAGCTCACTCTGAGTGTGAGGGGTGGGGCAGGGGGCTATTTAAATCTTCACCAGAAGATGGTGTGATAATTACCATTAAAGAGGCAAAAGGAGCTGGAGAAAGTTGGAATGGAGAGGTTTTAGTCTCCTCTGTTGTACGATTCATCGGTTTAAAGGTCTTTCTTTCTGTGGCCTAGGGATTCCTAAGAGCAGGGAAGAGGTCCACTCCCCCGTAAGCAAGCCAACACCGTGCATTTTTCAGTCTTCAATAAATATTTGTTGAATACATGAGCAGAATCACTTCACACTGGGTAACCTATCTCCTACCATCATAGTCCCCCCTTCTTTCAGAGGAGGCTTGGGCACCCCAAGTCTGACTGCAAATGAGCCAGAGTCTACGGAGGCCAGAACAATCTAATGCTTATGTCCACTTCAAGTTTTACTTATTTTCAAGTGTAAATAACTTGAATGACAAGACTCTAATATTCTATGAAGAGCCATTTACTACCAAAAGAACATTAAATTTGGATGGCTAGTTTAAGAGAATTTACTTATGTGGGTCTGTGATTTATCTCTTTTTTGTTCTATTTTCCATAAACCAGAAATAAGAATGTATCTCTTTGGGGGGCCCTTCCTCTTCACCCCCATCCAGGGGGTGTGAGAATAATCTTTCAAAAGCAATTCAAAATGGAAATCAATGGTTATGTTATACTTTTCAGATCTGTGCCATGAATGCTGGCTTCGGGTTTGTTCTGGGCTTCCCTTCCTCTGGGAATGGAACTTTCCAGAAAACTCTGGATTCCCAGTGTTGGCTTGGAATTGAGCCTCCACAGATGATCCCTAGATCTAGAATGTGGCTGGAGACAGCAGGGGTTATGTGACAGGTGATGGGCTCCTTTCCATTCTGCAGAGGAACTAAAAACTCCCCAACTGAGACAATTTCCCCCTAGATAAGAATAGGTACTGGCTCTGGTGAGCCTCTTGGATTAGCTATTGGAAAAGGAGGATTATGAAGCACTGTGCTAGAGGCTTCTGTACAATTATTTCAGGTAAAGATCACACAGCCTCCAAAGAAAAGTATTAATATCTCATTGCAAATGGAGGAAGATGAGGTTCAGAGAAATATTACACATTCAGGGTCCTATTCCTAATAAATGTAATCAGAGGTACAGCAGTGATTTTGTGGCTGAGCCCAGGTTGTTCATGCTACAGTCACTTGGGCCATAAAGAAGTCTCCAAATCTGATGGGACTTTCAGAGGGTGCATGAGCATGACAGAGCCAGCACTGCAACACTAGAGTGTTCAGATGTAATTCAGCAGCAAGGAATGTCCACAGCATCGTGTGTCTTGTCTTAATCAACAACACTTTCTGATTTTGTTGACATACTAATTGGAAAATCACACACACAGTTAATATGCTTCAAGATACTTATTGTGAGAAGGGGTGTCACAAATACAGCTTGGGGCCCAGTGCCTGTAGCACAGTGGTTATGGCACCAGTCACATACACCAAGGGTCGCGGGTTTTAACCTGGCCTGGGCCAGCTAGACAACAATGACAACTGCAACAAAAAATAGCCAGGTATTGTGGCGAGCGCCTGTAGTCCCAGCTACATGGGAGGCTGAGGCAAGAGAATCTCTTAAGTCTAAGAGTTTGAGGTTGCTGTGAGCTGTGACGCCATGGCACTCTACCAAGGGTGACATAGTGAGACTCTGTCTCAAACAAAACAAAACAAAACAACAACAAAAATACAGCTTGGGTATCCTAGAGAGGGTCCCGGCCAGGTCCTGTCTGCCAGCAGTCACACCAAGCTGAGGTGCGGTCCTCATTAAAAAAAACATTATTTGTATGTCTCCAGCAATTGTTTGTTTTACTACTAATTCCCGCCAGCACATTCATTTCAACTGCTCGGTTTAGATTTTAATTTCCCGGCTTCTCACTTTAGTTCCAGGCACAATGACCACTCCGCCTAAGGATAATCCGCGTCTTCATAATCTGCCTGACAGCATTATATGTGACTTTCAATTATTCTTTTAAAAAGCAAATTTTCATCTCAATTTTGGATGAATACTCTTTAAGCAAATCAACTATGTTATAAATTAAAATGACACTAACACATAATCCTTAAAACGAGTCACTTACAGGTGTGGTCCCAGGTGACTTTTCACTGCTTGGAGAATCCACTGCACAGAAAAAATGGAAAGAAAAAAAGAGACGGATGTGAACGGCTTCTCATTGTTGTTATTTATAATCCCCTCCGGGGAGTGTAGTTCCTGCGTCAGCTTCCAACCATTTTTTTTTTGGTAAGATGAGAGCATTAGAAAATCACAAAGAAGCAGACCACTGTGGCAGGTGGTACCCATCACCAAAAGCAGTCCTGACAGGTGTAATCTGATTGATCACACCCATTAGCACCAGGTACTAAGCTAGAGGAAGCAGGACTATTCCTATTAGTGCTGGTGCCTATGCACCTGGCATTCTGGTTTGGCCAAGCAGTTCCCTCGCTGTCTGGCTCAGAAAAGTATTGTACAGAGAGAGGCCAGATGTCACCCAGGAAGCAAAGAGAGGGACACAGTTAACCAAAGAACCATTGTCACTTTCTGGTAAATGATTCTAATCATTGCTTTTTTATTTTTAAGAAGGAAACAATAAAGAAAAAGGTGAATAATATTATTTCTCTGGAGCCTCACAATCAGCATAAAGTTCTGTGAATTCCCCCCTGATTTTAGGATAACTGGTCCTGCTATCAAAGAACTAGCTCTTTGCTAACTGTGTATCAGAAACAAGCATTTTTCCCCCTTTAAATCAGAAACGAAGACAAACGCCAGATATCATTGTCTGCCCCAACATGGATTTTTTGCACAGAAGAAATCAGCTCCCCAGTATGCGGTTTACCTGACTGGGAGAAAAACTGGGAGCGTCGCCAAGAGTTCTGAACTCTCAGCGGAACACTGGCAGTGCCAGGCGGCTCTGGAGCAGACGGCAGAACAGAACAAACAGAACACAGTGACAATCGGGCCGAACCCACCAGAACTACACTCCCACGTCCTCTGAGTTGTAGTCAACACCAGGATTGAGAGTCGGAGACTCTGAAGTACACGCTGTCTTAGTAATGCACACATACAACCCGAGGACGCAGAGTCCAGGGAACTGGGGAGATTTATGCTACATTGTTTCAATCCCTGGCTCAGGTCAGATTTTATAAGTTCATACTTGACAACCCGATGTGGTGTAAGACCAATAATCCACAGTTTACACTGCTTCTGGAAACAACAGCATATAAAAGGCAGTGGAGGTGAGTGGTTTAATAATTGTTTTTTCAGGTACTTGAAGTCTTCTTCAGTTTTTTCTATTTCAAATCAATACGAGGGTATACATTTTTAAGTTACATTGTTCTCACGTTCATTATTCAAGTGGTAGTTGAGGCCTTCACCCAGGGGACACGCTGAACACCTCGCATTGTGCACATTAGGTGAGACTGGCCAATTGCCCCCCGCCCCGTCCCCCCCTTCTTTTCTCCCCTCCCCCTTGCTAGCCTATACTGTGTTTTATCATTTGTGTGGGCAACTAGTAGCTTATATTTGGTTTCATATTAGTATTGAGTACATTGGACATTATTTTTTCCATTCTTGAGATACTTAACTAAGAAGAATGTTTCAACTCCATCCAGGTAAACATAAACAAAGTCTCCATGTTTTCCTGTGGCTGAATGGTCCTCCACGGTATATGTATACCAGTTTGTTAATACATTCACGGGCTGATGGGCATTTGAAGTGCTTCCAAGACCTGGCAATTATGAATTGAGCTGGGTGGTTTAATTATTATTTTATACATATCGCATTTTCTAAAGGTTATATATGGAACTCTGTGGCAGAAGGTTTCCTTACATATAAAAAAAGGATGTGTACACATCCGGGTGGGCGGCATCAAACAGGCAGAGCTGACGGCAAGCATCTGTATCCTTCAATCTGGGCTGTGCTGGCCTGTCATTCTCCAAGCAAAAGAAGACTCAGTTCCTATTTTGCTGAAACACCAATCTGAGTTATCTTTTCCGCTTTGGGAGGCAGTTTAGAAAAGGCAATTCATCACCATTAAATGTATTTTTGTGAATGTTTTCAGAGTATTTAAAGACCGTCTTTATGAATATGAGTGTGTGACTGTGTGAGTGTGTGCGTGTCTGTGAGTTTGGCCGGCAGATTTTCAGCATCCAGTATTAACTAGTCTATGAGCAGATGACATTGTAGAAATGGGGGAGATGCCATTTTATGGGGGACAGAGTATTAGATGTAGCTCCAGGCGTCCTAATCCTAACCCTATAACTCCTTTGGACTTGACATTCCACTCAGACTAATCACTTAACTGGGTACTGACGTTTTATATCTGGTCAGAGACCTAGTACTCCCACCCCACCTCCAATTAAAGGCAAATCATTTCTGAATCATTTCTTTTAAGGTTACATTTATTAGACGCCTTTTGCTTCTTGAAAGGCAAAAACTTTATATAAACACCAAACAGTTATTGCTGTTATTTCCGTATCCAGCAATGATGTCTTTGGTGCACAATTTAAATAAACACTTCGAGTCAGTGGGTTTCAGAGTGTGGTCCCTGGATAGGCAGCATCGGTGTCCTCTGGAACTTGGTAGAAATGCAAATCCTCCAGCCCTGGCCCAGACCTACTCACTGAGACAGCCTGGGAGTGGCCACCAGCCCTGCAGGGAGCCTGGCAGACTCTCAAGTTCAAGCACTACTGCATAAAGGTCTGTTGTACAACATAAACACTCTCACATTTAAGAAGCCAGTCAAGAAGACTTTATCTCTGCCAGAATCTTCTCTGTGCTTCTCCAACTTTTGCCACTATACTACAACTACTGCTGCTATCTTAGTGATTAATATGGGCCAGGCATTGAGCTAAACACTTTTATGGCTTATCTCATTTAATTCTTCCAATATTCCCTACAAGATTGGTACTATTATTGTTTCCAGTTTACAGAAGACACAATTAGAGAATACCTGATGGGTGAGGGCACACAGCTAAGAACTAGAGGAGCAGGAGTTTGAAGCCAGGCATTCTGTATCCAGAGCCTGCAGCTGTCCGGACAGCCTCCACGCGCCTTGGGTGTACTCCAGATATAATTCCACCTCAAAGAATTAACCTTAAAATGTTCCAGTGCTACTAGACTTTGTTTCTCAGGCATTCAAACTGGGGTCAAATAGGAAGGAAAGTAACTTGATTCAACAGCACATTTTACAAAATCAAAATTCCTTACGATGGGAAATTAAATTTATAAGAAAAGAACTAACGAAGAAGGCTTAAAATAGCCATTCCCTCTGTATATCACCATATCTACACAACTATGAAGAGCCAGAAATAGGGCAGAATTAAAATCAGTCTCAATACAGCCAATTGCCGGCCCAGCTGGGAGGTTTTACTTTTGCCAAAACCCTTCCGGACAGGAGGATTGACAAATACAAGATGAACACTTTGAAAACGGTATTGAACTTGTTTCCACATAGAGAAACTAGTACACATGTTCCCTGTAAAGTTGACAGGGCTCAATTTATTTCCCAACTGTCAACAAAAGCAATGGGCGCTGCGGGGGTGGCCCCAACTAGCCGCTCACTCTTGAAAAGAGAAGTAAAAATAAGCTACAAAACACACTGAGGAAAGTGCATTAAAAACAAACGCCCCCCCCACCCCCCACCCTATAGTTCACGCCTCCGTATCTCTCGCTATTTCCACATCCAGGAAGCCCAGTCATCTATCTGTTTTAAAGAACCGTCCCCATGGGTTGAGGAATTCTCAGGGCCCATCCCCTACTCTTCGTGTCTCTAAGGGTCCTTTCTGGTGGTTGTAGGCACAGAGCTTTCCCACTAGAATACAGGAATTCAAGGTGGGTTCTTTTTGTTGTTGTTGAGACAGAGTCTCACTATGTTGCCTTGGTAGAGTGCCGTGGCATTGCAGCTCACAGCAATCTCAAACTCTTGGGCTTAAGCGATTCTCTTGCCTCAGCCTCTCAAGTAGCTGGGACTACAGGCACCTGCCACAATGCCCAGCTATTTTTTTGTTGCAGTTATTTAGCTGGCCCAGGCTGGGTTCAAACCCGCCAGCCTCGGTGTATGTGGCTGGCACTGTAACCACTGTGTTGCTACGGGTGCCAAGCCTCAAGTTGGGTTCTTATAGGGACAAATTCACATCCCATATATATGTGGCTGACACAGTACTTGGGGAATTTGCAGTGGTCAGTACCATTCTGAGATCTTTATAAAGGCTTTAAATGCTCAGGTTTTTGGAAGCCACTACTTTCCACATCATATCTAACATATTACATTGTATCAAACATATGAAACATTAAAATATATCCTCAGTATGTGTGGGCTACAAATTTAAAACTATTCCTCAGTATCATGTATGTGTCTACCTGTGTGTGTACATGTTTCATTTACATATTCTTGCTATAAAGAATTTTTGTAAAGATTAAAATTTTTGACTATGATTAACATATTTAATTACGATAGTGAATGATTTCCTCAGTAATCATCATGCACACCCAGGAATTGTTATGGAGGAAAAAATATACATTCTTGGGATTATTGTCAAATTAAATGGACATTCATGAAGACTAGAATTAACAATGAAATTGACATGATATTGAGATTAAAAATTTATATTAAAGTTATTGATTTATGATTTTATAAGTGTCTTTTTAATATTTTGGAAATGTTACAATCATTTTTTAAGTTCACAAACACTTATACAGGCCCTACTGTGCCTACAGTGCCTGGCTGACAATATGGCCTTGGCAGCTGGAGTTCCTGTCATGGACAAATAGAGCCTGAGACCTCAGATTTCCATTCTGAAATTACTAATTCAGCCCTTGTAGACCCTGGCAAACACCTGACCAAAGGAACATCAATTAATATAAAAGATGTAATCTTCTAACCAGAATCCACAGAGAACTCAAAAGTATTAGCAAGAAAAGAACAAGTGATCCCATCTCAGGGTGGGCAAAGGACTTAAAAGAGAAATTTCTCTGAAAAAGACAGGTGCATGGCCTACAGACATATGAAAAAATGCTCA